GATAGAGTAACAATGGACGATCCTATATCATGGAGCATAGACAAATTAGTCTACTATGTCAACACAACTAAAGGCACTACTCTAGTCGAGGAAACCCGATATGCTGTGATTTGCCTGTCTAGGGATTGCAAAACTGAGTTTACCAAGTGGACAAGGGCTTCTGAGGTAAGACGTTGGTCGCAGTACACCAATTATCTGTGATCTGCCTGCCCAGTGTTAGGAACAATGTTATTAAGCTTACACTAGAAATGTTTAGTAAAATTGAAGTGCAGTAGATCGGTCGAAAGTTCCCGGCTTCCGTTTTGGGGATTCGTTTTAAACGCGCAGGTCTTCAACAGTTGGCAATTTCCGCTATTTGAAGCAATGGTTGAAAATACCGGCAAGTGGCTCCGCCGGATGACGCACATTCCCTGAGTACAATAGAACATAGCCCATAGAAATCGGACACTTGTCGTTTTGTGGCACATCAGCTTTGTTCACACCTGATATGCAGAACTTCATGACGCTCATCTGATCAGAAATGTGATTGCGATACTTCCGTCTGAGCCATCTTCACTGTATAGCGTAATACAGTGAAGCGAACTTCATTGATCGCTGCCAAACTCATAATGCATACAAGATTAGTGGTAAAATTTAAGGTGGAGGGATTGGGTCTACTTCGAGGGAGAGAGAAGAAAACGAAACTCTATGTTCAACACAGAGTGCACAGCCCAACTGTGCATACATAGTAGTTCAAGCATTCTGGACTGATAAGAAGTGACAGCATGGTCGCCGTTGCTGTCGGTTCGCAGCCACGACCTTCAGTGTCTCCAACTATCCGGTTTCGGAGTCTTTTGGACCCCAACCCGGAAGACGAGAGACACCTACTCTATCTAATCGCTCTGTGCATTTCTGTATGCCTCGTCTCCACGTCATCTGCTGGTCTCCACGTGGCTTTTTCCAGCCTGTAGCAGCCACTGCAAACAAGGCGCGCTGCGGTGGGCGACCGTCGGACAAAACTTGTCCTAACCAACGGGGCCTACCGAGTTGGATTCGATGAGATAGCGAGTTCTTGTCTGATGTATTCCCAAACACCCGGCGATTTACTTCTAAGTTACCGACCCGCTCGCTCCATCCAACTTGGGCCAGACTACGTAAGCATCGATTGTCGAACACTGCTAAACGACTAGTGTCTTCTACCCGCAAATTCAAGGTCTCAGTCGTAAAACAGAACTGATCGTACAGTGACGCAGTGTACGCAACTTTTCAACTTCAGCGAAACGTCACGTCGCCGCCACAGGTGTTTTGGTCTTGCGTACGCTGCTCGAGCCTTGTAAATGCGGGCGGTTATCTCCTTCGATGCGCCTCCGTCGTTGGTCACGCAGTTACCTTAGTTCGACAAACAGTCAACTTCTTTTCTGAGTTGACCATTTCGATTACCAAGTAGGGTTTCAGTGTGGAGCCTGGCAAAATTTTGGATCACTACTTTTGTTCCCGGTAGATCTCATAATTGACGGACCCGTCGCGATCCGTTAGATCTATCGACTGCGTCCACTTGCGTACCTGGATTAATTGACTTGAACCTCTAACTGCTAGCGACACACCTCACACGGTTGAACGATTGTTCAATACGGCAAGGCGACATCAGCAACCCACGTAAACGTAACAGGTAGCAAAAAATAGGAGACCAGAACAAACCAGCGTAAAATACAGTGGTGTCGCATGGTGCATTGAACGACCAAGATGAGAGTGCTTGAGAGCAACGTGCGTCAACTTTCAGTGAAACAGGAACTTGACATAAAAAACTGGTGACGAAGTTGGGTTATTGGAAGTTTATCAGTTAGATACCTAATTGAGGACGTTTTTGCCTACAACATCGAACTAAATTTATTTTAAAGTAATATATATATCACGATTGTGAACTGAACAGTTAACGGAATGAACCCTTTGGTCCCGAGGACCAGTAGTTCATTCATGGAAACCGGAAACTTAAGTCCCGTGATTTGTAGTGGTGATCTACAGGTTTGATGTGGTATTGAGCCGGAACACGGCAAAACTGCCTGCTCTCAAAGTTGAGTGGCAGTTCGTACATGTATTTTTGAAGATTTTTGCCGATCTCTTATGAACACGGTCTTGTCCATACACTGTTCGATACAGATTGACCAATTGGCACCAACGGCATGATGTAAAAAATAAAATGTCTTTTTACTTCCTTTCTCTATTTATTGAATATACAAATGTACAGTCGACTTTCAGGAAGGGGGTTGTGGTCATACAAAGGTTGTCTGGAGAAAATACAGATATAAGGAAGACGGGCGGCGGTGGAGCGAGAATTCCGGGTCACAATTTGGTGACCTAACCACTTGGCCACCACCGCTCAAAGATGCTTTTTGTGACACTGAAAAATAATAATTTCGAGGATTTTTAGACAGTTAAAGCAAACTCAAGACTGAGAAGCCAATTGTTGTGCCAGGGCCAAGATTGTAGATCATGATTCAAAGGCCATGGTGTGACCACTCTGTTCCAGCAACGTTCACAATCGGTCGTCATCTGAGCTAAGAACTGCACAAATCAAGACGTGTATCCTTCTCTCGGTTAAAGGACACGCCTCTGTACACTAAATCGAACCTTATCTGTTGATTTCAGTATATGTGCGATGTCATCTACATAAATAAAACAGAAAAACCATTACCTCGTCCTGCTTTAGAATGGCCCAAACTGGGTTCAGCTCGAATTTGCTATCGGGGTCAGTACAACCAATCACTGACATTAGTCGTACTTACAAAATGAGTTCCCCAATTGCCAAGCAGTTTTTAATGACGCCACATATCTCCGCTCGAACAGTATCATTTCGAATGTTCTACATTCATAACAATGCCAAAATACTCAAGATCACCCAAACCATTATAATGAATCGTTGGAAACTCCTTTTGTATAAAAAACCGGTTCACCTTCCTGGCTTTATTTTGCTGTCCGTTCTCCTATTCACGTTTATTTAGTTTTTAATCCACTCAACACTATATAAAATTATTTGTCTGCAGTAGACCCATTAAAATTCAGTGAAATTATCCAGGATATAAATCGTGCAATTTGGTTACGCCGACTTTCTTTTTCAATGTTTGAATAGATTTTTTGCGGTTTCGGTTTTTCAGGTCGTTCAGCCGTTAACCATACCCCTTCGTGCGGTGTTTTTCGACGCTGTTTTTTGGCTGTCCATTTTGATTAACGGGTAACAGAAAGATAAACAAAAATCACAAGTAGAGTCGAAAAAAGTGGAAAATTAAAGTAGACTAAGGTTGAAAAGAAAGTGGGAAAATGCACGAACACCACTATTTACGATACCCAGCCATATCCCTCAGCGTCTGTAATCCTTGATTACAATGATCCCTAGGTCCCCATCCAGAAAGCCTAACCCGACATATAGGACCGAGTCTCCTGGTAAGGGTTTTCATGCCCTCATGCCGCCTCTTAGTTTTACTACACTCACTACCTGCATTGGCAAACATTGCGCACATCAGCATACTATTTGATGGCATGCGTAACACATTACCCAGCCATTTTTTTGCAATAGCCTCTGTAGTTGAGCTGAAAAATTGATCCAAAAAACTAGTGGTGAATGATTTTACATGTAAACAGATGTAGTTTTGACGGTAGAAATTTCAATAGGATATAGAAAAATGATGTAGAGGTTCAAAATATGCGCTGTGCAGTCGTTCGATCGCCGTTCTTTGAACATAGGTTTGAGAGGCTCACTGGCGTGATTTTGCTACCGTATTTTGTTACTGGAGGGTTAAAGTTTTTGCAACAGTATGCTGCCTAAGAGGACTTTTTTATTTATATCACACTTTTCTTATGAAAACAGAAGAAATGGACTCCATAGGTACCAAGACCTTCTGATCAGTGATTTAAACCGACAACATAATCCTCGGGACTTGGAGTGGCAAACCACATAAGGCCCCTCTAACTTAGTAATATGTTCAATTAAATAAGAATAGTGAAGGATTAGATTGGATTATTTGGTGAATTTTGTCGTGTACGAATTTTCTGAATCACGAACTGAAAAGCTAGGAAGCACTACTATACCACTGTTTCTACGTGGGTGATTCTCATTAGCTGTGCGAATCGATCGAACCAACTGAGAATCAAACCCGGAACCTCGCAGGTAGAACGCAAGAGTACTATCCATTTGACCACCAGTCAGCCAATCAAACAGTTTGTCACTTTTGTCTACACACGATATAACATTGTTCATCTTTGCAAGCTTGCGATGGGCATCACACCTAGCTCATCTCAGCGTTAGCATTCAGGTCCATGACTCGGTCGGAGACACTCAGAACCTTACTACTTGTTGCAGGAAAGTAATGAAGGGTTTCAATCGGTTACACACTAGTGAGATCCAAGGATGTATAGTGCTTCCTGACCTGTCAGTGCACCCTTTGTTTGTTTTGTACACAACGAACTTTGCTACAGATCATACTCGTTAGTTCGATACTCCTTGCTTGGTCCCCGTTGGTCTCTTCTAAAATGCATCAGGGATTCAATTCTTATCTGAGAGTGATAACCGCCACATCGCGTAGTCTTTAGGTGGAACTATCCGCTAGAGGTAACCCCGGTGGCAACTTGTTACGCTCAGTCTTAGGAGTTCAAACAGCCACTTACTCAGTTGGCATGTGCCACTAATTATCCTAAATAAGAATGAACTAGTTGTACAGTTTATAAGGCCTTTCAGTAACATGAATTGTGCGCTATTGTGGTATTATACTTGTAAAAGGAACTAACAGGATAGTTATGACCTGGAGCGTTGCAAATTGGTATGTTGGTGCATGCGTCCTCCTCACTCGTTGGAAAGAAAAAAACGGTGGTATCAAATTCACTGGTAGTTTCCAAACTCTCAATATAGCGAAACTAAGTATGAAGGTGTGGATATGTTTATCTCTTTTCACACGCGTCTGAAACCAGACTGTGTCAAACAAATGATGGTAGCATAATCTTCATGAAAATAAAAACGTTCTATGATTTGAATGTGGGCGGAGTACTGCCAGGTTGCCCAGGCCAAAGCAGGTGAGTTTTCTTGAAGAATCCACTACCGGAGCTTTTTATCATCATCGCACAGCGAAATACAGTGAAGTGAACTTCACCGATTGCTGCCAAACTTCCAATGCATACAAGATTAGTGGTAAAATTTAAGGTGGATAGGGATTGGACCTACTTTGAGGGAGAGAAGAAAATGACCCTCTATGATCAACACACAGTGCACAATCGAACTCTGCATACATAACGCTCCAAGCGTTCTAGTCTGATAAGAAATGACAACAAGAACGCCACTGCTGTTGGTTCGCTACCATATCCTTCAAGGTCTCCAACCAACCGGTTGTGAAGTCATTTGGACCCCAACCTAGAAGGTGAGAGACACCTACTCTACTTAATGGTTCTGTGCTTTTCTTCATGCCTCGTCTCCACGTCATCTGTTGACTCCCACGCGGTTTCCTCCAGCCTGGATTAGCTACAGCGACTAAAGCGCAGTGCGGCAGACGATGACTGGGCATACGCAGTACGTGCCCTAACTAGCGAAGTCTGCTAATCTGAATTCGGTGTGCTAGCATGTTTATCCATGACCGACTCCCAAGTACTCGACGGTTTACCTCCAGATTATTAACTCGTTCGCTCCACCCCACATGGGCTAAACTGCGTAAACACCGATAATCGAAAACTCTAGTCGACGGATATCTACTCTCACAACCATAAAGCAGAACTGGACGAACGCTAATGCAATATTTACGACATTTCAACTTCAGTGAAACATCGCGTCTACGCCAAAGGTGGTTCATTCATGCATATGCTGCTCGCGCCTTGGAAATTCGGGCGGTTATCTCCTTTGCTGCACTACCGTCATTGGTTACGTAACTACCCAAGTACGAAAAGCAATCTACTGTTACTAATTCCTGACCATTTAGTTTAAGAGCGGGAGTAAGCGATACCCAGTCCCGCAGCATTACTTTGTACTTTGAAGGTGCAAAGCACATAACGAATGCGGCAACTGCGCTTGTTAGTCTATCAAGTGCGCTTTGTGTGTACTCCATACATTCGAACAGACAGACGACGTCATCGGCATATTCTAAATTGCACAGCTTTTCTCCATCTGCCCATTCAATACCAGTATTTTGGAGACCACTTTGTGCGTTCTTCAGTATTTCGTCTACGATGAAATTATTCAGGAACGGCGAGAGAGGGCACTCTTGACGAATGCCGATTCTGGTGACGAATGGTCTACTTAGTTCATCATAGACTCTTACGTGACCAGAGGTATGCGAGTACAGTGACCTCAGTAAGTTAACGTAAGTCTGGGGTATTCCTTTTCGAAGAAAGGAGCCCATCAGAGCTTCGCGATCAACTAAGTCGAAAGCACTTTTCAGATCAAGAAACACTGAAACTGTTGGTTGGTAGTGTGTGTGACGCAGCTCAAGGACCTGGCGCAACGTAAAAATTTGATCAATACATCCACGGCCGGGTCGGAATCCAGCTTGCTGTTCACGGATGTTGATCTCTCTTAAAGGAGTTAGACGTTGAAGTATGACGGAGGCCAGTACTTTGGTGATGATCAGGATCAAACTGATCCCGCGGTGGTTTTTGCAATCGTTACGGGATCCTTTTCCGAAAATGGGAACGATCAGTGATTCGCCCCAAGATGATGGAATGTGCTCTTGCATCCAAATGTTGCGCAGTAGGGTAGTAATAGAGGTTACGAGGTAATCACCTCCCATCTTGAAANGGAGAGGGAAGAGGTTCCAAATGAACGGTGTGAATCGGTGATCATACCGATTTACAAAAAAAGTGATAGATCATCCCGTGAAAGCCACTGAGGAATTAGTTTAATCAATATTGCCCCTAAACGTCTCGCCGTATCATACTCCGTCGATTGTCTGCCGCACGTGAACGGTGTACGCGTGAGAACCAGGCCGGGTTCCATACGCCGTCGATTGTCTGCCGCACGTGAACGGTGTACGCGTGAGAACCAGGCCGGTTTCAGACCTGCGAAGGCTATATTGACCACATCCTCACACTCCGTCAAATTCTAGAAGATAGACACTCCTTTCGTAGACCCACCATTTTTATTTTCCTCGATCTAAAAGGGGCTTCCGACTCAGTCGACCGC